TTATCCTTAACAGTTTACTATAACTTACTAGCTTTCATAAGACTAGGACTTGCTGGGGTAGGGCTTGCTAGCAGGGACTGGGGAGACTAGAGACTAGCATTGCCCTTGACAAGTTAATAGGCACCACAACCAGGTATTGATGGAAGGGCCACAAGTTCCTTTTGCCAGAGATAAGAAGAATGATTCCCTTTTTAGCAAGCAGGAATTTCTTCAAGCCCCTGAAGAAATGAGAACTTTTGTCTAAAAGCCTGATCCTGGGAAAGGATTTTATAGCTTTATCTCGGTTAAGTTTGTCCCTTAAAAAACAACTTCTGGCCAGGTGGTGGTGGTGACGCACGCCTTTAGTCCCAGCACACAGGAGGCAGAGCCAGGTGGATCTCTGTGAGTTCAAGGCCAGCCTGGGCTACAGAGCCAGATCTAGGACAGGCACCAAAGCTACACAGAGAAACCCTGTCTCAAAAAAAAAAAATCTGAATTGAAGCTCCTTTAGTATAAACCTTTTAACTCATAAACATAGTCCACAGAGAGACTGGGAAATTTCCTGATCCTTTTATACTACAACAGAATATAATAGTTTCTTATATGACTCAGTTTACCAATATAGCTTAAACTTAACAAAGTTAGCAAGGATAAGGATGCTAGACATACGTTCTTCAGCATGAATAGACATTAGGTAAGGAAAGACATTCTATAAGGCAGTGGTTCTCAACCTTTCCAATGTTTCGACCCTTCAATATCATTCTCCATATTGTTCTGTTGCTATCACACAACTGCAATTTTTCCATTGTTATAAATCTCAATGTAAATATCCAACATGTGGGTGGTCCTAGGCTACCCCTGTAAAAAGGTCTTTCAACCCCTAAGGGATTGAGACTCGTAGGCTGAAAAGCTACTCCAAGCCCTTTGCCAGACTGCTTAAGTCATTGTCTTGCTACATTATAAGATAGGAATATCCCAGTTTCTGGTGTTTAGTATTTGGTGCTCATAGCTGTGGCCTTAACTTTTAGCCTTATACTTATTAAGTTCAAATATTAATAATAAAAAACATTTTATAAACTTAAAATGTCCCATAGCCTTATAAATTTAAATATTTTAAAAACTAATCTTTAAAAAATATTGTTTTTTAATTTTCTGTAAAACTCTAAACTTTCCCCTTATATCAAAAATAAAGTACCTTTTTTTTAACTTCAAGAGGGAGAAAACAGGGCATAAGCATAATCTGCATAAGGCAAAACCAAGTTCCAACAGTGCAAACAATTTAAAGCCCAATTATCTGGGGTTCACTCACAATCGCTCTGGTTTTCTAAAGAAGCTTGGATCACCAAGCCTCTTTGGCCCCACCCTTGACAGCATATACATAGCCTGCTCCATTTCATTGTGGCTGATGCTTCTGGTGACAATCACATGGCTCTAGCATTTCAAAACTGCTAAAGTCCACCATTGCAACTCGGTTCTCTTTAGGAATTCTACCTGCCACACATTTGCAAACCTCAGATGTTCCCCATGATCCCTTCTTGTCTTTAAAACCATTATCACCTGGTGACTCTTCAATTGCAAAGTTTAGCTGCCAGAGCAAGGTACATTCTTGCTTATAAAAGCATGGAGTTGCAGCTTTAATATCTTATTAAACAAGCATTGTTTTAAAATACTATCCTTCATAAATCCTGTTTTCAGGACAAGACAGTAATTACCACACAAAAGTCCATCCTAATCCAAAATATCTTGGAGACCTGTTGTTGCCACCTTGGTAGACCCACTCCATATGGTCTCTTTTAATCAAGATGGCAGTGAAATCACATGACACCCATCTTCTCTAACCCTAGCAAAGATGGCTGCCAGACACGTGGCAGCCCAAAGATGGTGAAGTCACATGACTTTATGCCCTGGACAGGAGAATATGGAGGCCTCATTGAACCCCCTCCACATCCCAGATAGGGATCCCACAAAGCAGTAACAGACGATCATTCACCAGGAGGCCTCCATAGGTGCTTGCTGCATTTCTTGGCATGGCAGTTTACTCCAACAGTCTGAAAACTGAAGGCAGCCTAGGAGCGTTGGACCATCTCAAAGCCTGTGGTTCCTCAAGCAGCCTCTCCCCTCTGCAGTTCCAGAGTGAAGATCTAGCTTTAGATTATATGTGGGTGGTCTGAATCTCACTGGAGGCCTCCAGAAAATATTAATCCCACTGACTGAGACTAAGACCACTACCATAGTTTAAAGCCAAATTTGAAGCAAGCTTTAGATAAATACTGGCCAGGTGGATGGACTCTGGCCAGGTCCATACCCACGTTCCTGGGAAATGGGCTAGAATCAAGTATGGCAAGGGCTTAAAAGGGAAAATCCATAATTCACTGCATTTCCTATCAGGTCCAATCAAGAGCAAGCATACATCCTGACATAACTCCAGCCTATAAACAATCAGGGGCAAGCATATATCCTGACGTATTTCCTGCCTGTGAACCTCCCGCCCACATGTGAGCAAGCACATCTGGTGCAGATGGGTCAAACAAACTTGTTTAGGGGAGTGAAAAACAGGGGACTTGTTATCTCCCATAAACAATAGCCTCCAGCATTTCAGGAAGTGTCTGTCCTTGGGCAAGGGGTTTGTAGATAAGAGGCATTTTTGTTTTGTGGATCTCTAAGGCATAGTAATTAAAACTTAAAATGTAACTTTGGCTCTCACATGATGAGTAACATAATTAACACACTTCTGAAACTGAAGAACAGCCCTAACCTTAAGACCTTTTGTTTTTTGTTTTGTTTTGTTGTTGTTGTTTTTATTGTAACCATATCACTAAGTATCCTACACTATTTAAGTTCTTGAGTGGTTTTAATCAGTATTGAATATCCACACTAAAGCTGCTAGGCATCAGAGTGACTGGACAAATACTACAAGGTCCAGCTCAATGGGAGCCTGGCCCACTCTCCTCTGAAGTAGACTCGGTGGGTTTGTGTGTGCATACAAAAAGAACCCAAAGAGTTGTGTGCTATCCTGGGAACTCTGCCTCTGGGTGAAAACACAGAGGAAATCTGGTGCCTTGCCAGGTACAAATGAGGTAGCTCCATGTGTGAGTTGCACAAAACTCAGTACATGAAGAAGGGTGGAGGAAATGTGGGAACAGCAGTAGAGAAGAAAGTCTTCCTTCAAGGAAGACGTGATGACCAGCTTGGCTGCCGCTAGGTTAGGGGATGACTGGAAATGCCCAGTAATCAAAATTAGCATGTGGGAGACATGCACAGTAAACTTACAAAGCAATTTCACTGAAGAGTAGAAGTGAGCACTGAAAACTGTGGGCACTCTCCAGGATGAGGGTCCACTGGGACTCTCAGACATTGCCTGAAGGGTGCAGATCAGCTATGGAAGTTTCCAGAATACTATCAGGGGCACAAGTATGTATAGCTCTGGGTGTACTGTGGAAAGTAGGAACAGAATACCCCACAATACAAAACAGGAAGTTCCCAAACAGGATGCCAAGCTAAAGAAGCCTAGAACAAGAGTGCATTCAGTAATTAAATTCATGTTAGTCTCTAATGCAAGAATTTAGGTCACCCTGGAGTTTGAACAGTTCCTGGGAGAGACATTAAGGGAATTTCTGGGATGTTTGAATATTCTTTTTTGTAGCCTGATGCTTGTAACCAGGTGTGTTCAATTTTGGAAAATCCAAGAGGTTGTATACTTGAGAAGTGCAAAGCATAATGGCACATGCCTGTAATCACAGGTCTTGGGAAGCAGGAGCAGCAGAATTTTGAGTTTGAACTCAATCTGCACTCAAGCTGAGGCCAGTCTTGGCTCCCGAACAAAAATCTGTCTAGAGTGGAGCATGCACGTGCTTACCTGCACCCTCCCTGTCTCTCTCCCAAGAAGAGGGGCTGACCATCTTTTCCTCTGTCACTAGTGTCCTGTGTTTGATTGTGGTGGGTTCCTGAGAATCTAGCAATGGCTCTAGGGAAATGTGTTGGGGGTGGAGCGTAATTTCCTCTTCTAAACTCCCTGCCTCCTTCTCTCTGCATCTCCAGCCCTGTCTCTTCCTACTAAAAGATCAGTGAACCACCCCACACCTGCCTAATATGTATTTCTATCTGAATATGACTAGGTTTACATCTGGGTTCTGAGTACAAACTACAGTACTTGACTCTTAAATTTATGCATAGTTTCATTTTCTTGCTCAAAAATGAAATGAAGAATGCATTAAAACTAAGGAAAAAAAACATACCATGATTTGAGAGCTAACTTGCATGAATACAGTTTCTTCAGCAACAAAAATGTATTTGGTATGTTCCTCTATTATTGAGATCAAGTAATGTGCCTGGATTTGGATGACACAAAATGGTTTGAATTAGAGTCACATAATTGCCATTTAGAGTGGACATAAACTTACTTGAGGGAAGTGGTGAATGAGGATAACAAAGTAACTAATAAACTCTGAAACAAAGCTGATATCTAAGACTTAAACTTCAGAGGTCTTCCAAAAAGAGCCTTTTATCCAGAGGTGGGGGTGAGAGGAAGAAGAGGAGGAGGAGGAGGAGAGGAAAGGGAGAGGGAGGAGAGGAATGGGAGAGAGGGAGAGAGGAGGAGAAGGAGGAGAGAGAGGGAGGGAGGGAGGGAGGGAGGGAGAGAGAGGGAGGGAGGGAGGAGAGAGAGAGAGAGAGAGAGAGAGAGAGAGAGAGAGAGAGAGAGAGAGAGAGAGAGAGAGAGAGAGAGAGAGAGAGAAAGAGATGCATTTGAGCAGTAGGAGTGGTTTTCCCAAGCTGATTTTTCATACAGGGATGACCCAGAGTGGGTCGGAATGTTACCATGTGATCAGTTAGGACCGTGGCCGCGACACAGTCTCAGCACAGAAGTTCAGACTTCCTGCAGCATCATTAAAATAATTGGAAGAGAAAAAAAAATGTTAAGCTCCACAAGCTTGAATCACAAGCCTCTTGGAAAGGTTAATAAGCTTTCTGCTTGTGTGCTCTCCTCCCCTCTCCTTCATGCCCTGCCACCCCCATCCTTCCAGCTCTCAGTGATACTGCGAGGGAAGATTCAAAATAAAGTGTTTTTGTTCCCAGCAGCGGAGTATCTCCTGTCCCTCTGTGGATGCCAAGGAGACTCCTGTTTATGGTGATGGTTGTGGAGCTCCAAGAGAGGGGATGCTTTCCCTCTCACGGCTGGGAGCTACCAAGCTAGATTCATGGGTTCTAGAAGAAGGCAGTCCCGCAGAATAAAGGTATGTCTGGCAGAACAAAGGCGAAAATACTGTACCTGGTCGAGGCCGGAGGGTGGGGGTGGGCGGGTTAGAGGCCATGTGCAGTCTGGGATTGAACTCTGCTAATGAGAGAGAGGCGAACTGCACAGGCCCAAGGAGAGGCAAGAGCTGGCTCTAACTAGAAAAGCAGGAACAGTTTTGCTGTGGCTCCCAGAGAGTGTCTGAGCGTGGAGTTGCTACATGACCATAGATGCTGTGCCAGCTAGAGGGCTGAAGCAATTGGATAATTGGATTTGTGTTGGGAAAGGAGAGAGGAGAGGAGAGAGGAGAGGAGGCGGAGAAGGAGGAAGGGAGGGGGAGAGAGAGAAAGGGAGAAACAGCAGAAGAGTGAAAGATATTGGGCAGAGGGGTAAGATTTCTTCTTTCTCGGCCCTCCTTGGTCTTGGACTGGTCTGTAGTTGAAGGACGATGCCCTTCAGCAGAGGTTTCTGTGCGGTTATCCTCGTTGCTCCCACCCCATAAAGCCTTGGCTTGAAACTGGGTCAAGACATGGTTAATGATTATCCTCAGCAGGCGCGTATTCTGCCTATCCAAGTAGGTATGGCTCGTGCCCGCGCAGGTTTGTAATGGCGGCCAACAGTGCTTTCAGCTTTGTGAAAACAGATGGATTTCTGTGAGCAGAGTCCCGAGCAGAAGAGCGAGGTTGACTTGATCAGAAAGACGCTCAAGGAGCAGAGGAGCAACAGGCAGCCAGCGAAACTCTTCACATCCCTCTGCTCAAACAAAGGTCTCTGGTGGATGGTGAAGGAAACGTGGCTGAGAGTTTGGATGTGGGATGCAAGCATCACAAAGGCCGAGTCCTTGACAACTTCAGCTGCCTTCTTATGAAAGTCAGTTGTGGGCTGAGTGTGCAGCGGGAAGTCCTTCTGGAGCACGGCACATCTCTTCAGCTGAATGCTCTGATGCGCTGAGGGACCTTTCCACTTTGCTTAATCAGTATCTAGTCCCAGTGACTGACACACTTTCTGGCATGATGGGATAGGCAGCCTTTAATAACTGCCATCAAAAAAAAAAGCCATGAAGGTTAACTTCTCAGTGTTTATTAATTGCTTATAAGAAGCCATCCATATGTTCTGCAGCGACCCAGAATTTCTACCTTTTGACTCTCCTCACCACCAGGACATTAAAGCCCTCCACATACTTTAGCTTTGACTAAAGAGGTAAATTGTAGAAAGAAAGCATCAGCTTTAGATGCTGCTGTTAGGGAATGATATGTACCATCTCTGCCCACATTTCACTGGAAAAACTTGATCACCTGGTCTGTGATGATAATCTTGATTGTCAACTTGCTTGGATCTGGGATCAAGCTATGGGCCAATCTTTGAGGGTATTTTCTGAAAGAGTTGGCTGGACATGGAAGACCCTCCCCCATAGCAGGCAGTGCCTTCTCCTGGTAGCCCAGATATCAGGGGATCTGGAGCAGCCACAGTGCTGCTTTTGTCCCCCACCAGCCCCTCCCCCACCTCTACTCTTTGCATGTGATGCATTTACTGTATTGCTGCCCCTGCTGTCATCCTTTGCTGACGTTTCTTCAGGGCTCAGTTTCTTCAGACTTTTCACATGGAATGAGGACCAGTGGCTACCTAGGAATCTTCTAGGCCTTCAGCCTCAGATTGGGACGGCTAAAGTATCCAGCTTTGTGAACTGAGTAGCTGTTGAGTTCTCAACCTCTCCAGCAAGGTGATAGTCATTGTTGGACTACCCAGTGCACATCATCTAAGCCAACCTAATAAATCTCCTTCATGGTATATATTCATTCTCTTGGTTCTGTTCCTCTAGAAAACACCGACTAGACCAAGGTCCAATCCAGTTTCAAAAGGGACTAGAGCTGGAATAAATGTCTGTCTAGACATTGAAGGCAGAGATTGATTTTCATGTCCCTAAGGCTAATACCCGGCGTTCACTTCTACTCCAGGGAGAATCAGCAAAGCAACTGAGGGCGGCAACAGCTTCACAGGACTAAGCATAGAGGGTGATTCCGAACACTTTTGAAAGAAGCTGAGCTCTCGGATCCAGACACATCAGTTCTCAGCCCGAAGCAGATGTCCTAACCCATCTGTCCAGGGTCTGTGAAACGTAAATTCTTATTCATTACTCCTAAATTTTGGGGTGGTTTGATGTAGCAAAGGCTGATGAAAAGGAATGTTTACTACTTCCCACACCTAAGAACTCTCTCTCTCTCTCTCTCTCTCTCTCTCTCTCTCCCTCCTCTCTCTCTCTCTCTCTCTCTCTCTCTCTCTCTCTCTCTCTCTCTCTCTCTCACACACACACACACACACACACACACACACACACACACACACACTTTTCAAGCTACTCTGATACATTATTTATTCTAGGTACATCCTATAATCTGTCCACTTCTAGTTTGTAAATCTTCATTTTGTTTGTTGGCTTGTTTTAAGACTTATTTAAATTTACTTTATGGGTATGAATGTTTTGCCTGCAGGTATGTATATGTACCATGTGGGTACCTGGTGTCCTTGAAGGCCATGTAAAACCACTTTTAAAAGTCAAAACAACCTTAAAGCAGTAACATCCATACATTACAATATTATGGATAGCTTTTACTTATTATTGTACTTGTCATCTTCTACAGACAGTGACGAATACAGTGTAAGCAGGCCTAAGGAGAACCAAGAAAATTGGCAGGATACAGACCATCCGGGTGATTTGGTGGGGCGGGGATTTCCTAAGAATCAGACGTGCTAACTTTAGGCTCACCAAAAGCAGTGGAAAGCCCTTAATTGTGGCAGAAATGGTCTCCCTGATTTAATTACACATTAGGGAAACAGGTCCAAAGGAAATTTTGTATGGTAACTGCATGAAATTATTTATAGTAGACACAGTATAGTTTCAGACACATTGGAGAATGTGTTCAAGAGAAAACACTTAAAGGACTCACTTTTTTTCAGATTAAATGAAATACACCAATCAGAAATGATCAGTGCAAGGCTCTCTCAGCTCCTCATCCCTTCCCTTGGCCAAGCACCCCCTCCAATGTTCCTTTTTCTCCTATTCTGAATGCATCAGTGTCCCAGAAATTCTGGCAGCCCTCCTAGGCCAGCTGCTGCCTCTGACCTGGACATTCCCAGCCTTCTGCAAGGTCACGGGACACGCTGTATCCTGGGATTCCTCTTGTGGACGATGGGAAGGGCTTAGAACTTCATGTTCCCCACTGCGCCCGTGACTCCATCAGCCGGTCTCTGACTGATGGGTACGGTTCACGAGCTCGGGCTTTGACTTCAAGCCTGTTGTCCGGGTTCGATGGGCTTGAATTCAATGTAATCCCAAGTTTATAGATTCAGTCCATCAGACAGCTCATGGAATAAATATCAGCATTCTAGTTTTCTAGAGGACAGTAAAGGTGGAGACCTTCAATGAGAGTCCCTGAGATCACATATAATGAATTAAATGCCTTATTTTTGTACTCCAGAAGCTGAGAAGTGAGGAATGAGTACCTTTGTTTCCCAACGGTTTGAAGTATTCTCTCTAGCTTTCTGGATCCCAGACCCCTCTTAGAGCCCAGGGTCTTACTGGATCTGTGTGAGTTGTGTCCACTGGCCTGCTTGTCTCAGCATCTTTCAGGGGAGCCTCTGCTTCACCTACAAACACCCTGGGCATCTCTAGAACGTGGGCACACAGCAAGTTTCCAATCACTTATTCTTGACTGTGCCGAATTGGAGCCTGATTACAGCTCTGTTTGGCACATGAGCTGTCAACAGATACTGTAGCCAGGAGCTCACAGTCTCTACTGGTCACCTCTTCCTTTTCCTCGTTTCTGTGAAGAAGAGACCAAAGCATATGTGCAGGTGGTTAAGTAAAAGAGAATCAAATAAAACAAAAATAAATGAAAAAAAGAAAAGAAGAATTTCAAGTTGTCGAAAAAAGAGGAACTCAGGACTGCTGGCACAGACCCAAACCTGGAAATCCAAAGAGGTTTGCCTATCACTAATGACCATATAATACGTTCCCAGGGGAGGGGCCGAGGGCAGCTATTAAAATACCGCATCTCTGGTGCTCGGCGGGAGAGGATCCTTCTGAGACACGGGTGCCGTCTGTTCTCCCTTTGGGAGTTAAAATTACAAGTGAAGATTGGATTTGCAAGGTAAAATGTTGAGGAAAGCAGCCGGGGATCTTTCTTTTCCCAGGTCAGGGTTTGGAAATGCCTTGTTGTAGATTTTAAGCGTGGTGATGGGCCAGCTTGTTAAGTGTGCTGTTGGCTGGTTTGTTGAGTGACTGGCAGGGAGCCTCAGGGAACGGAAACTAAGTCATTTGTGGAGTATGAGGTGACCAAAGTAGCCAGAACTAGGCTTTTGTGACGTCTTCCACCAAAACAGTTCTTTCTAAAGGTACTGGCAGCTGTTTCCTTCTAAGTAGACAAAGCTCTCTACTGGAGTGCTCAGGAGGTTTTTGACATTTTGAGTGATCTCCGTGGAAGACGAGACACCCTAATTTGACCGTGTCCTATAGATTTCAATAGAAGACATCCGTAAAAGAGTTTTAAAAGTAGCAAAGCTACACAGAGAAACCCTGTCTCGAAAAACCAAAAAAAAAAGTAGTTTTATTAAGGTATAATTTAACACAGATCACCCATTTTAAGTGAGTAGTTCAGAGTCTGAGCAAATGTATATACTGATAACCCATATTGAAATCAGAACAGGACATTTGGATTATTCCAAAGTAGTTCCTCTTCCCCCTTTACAATCAGGACAGTCCTCAGGCCAAAGAAACCACAGACCTGCCTTTGTCCTTGACGTTGGATTTCCTGTTCCAGAAAGCCAGACACTCATGTGGTGGATAGATTTACATGCAGAAAAAAAAACCCATTCACATAAGATAAAAATGAAGTATTTCTATACTAAGCCTATCTAAGCATCCACAAACAAGGTAATGGAGAAAAAAATGTAGTAAATTTGCACCATAGGTCACTATACAGCAATGGTAATGAGTGCTATATA